TATATTATATATGTTTTGTATTTTATTCTATTCTATTTTATTGTATTGTGTTCTGTTGAGTTGTATTGTATTCTACTGTATGGTATTGTACTGTACTTAGACAATACATGGTAAAAAATAGCACTGTTCACTTTTTTTTTAAAAGACCAATCGGCTTTTTTAAATCGAGAATTTTATAAAGGTCAACGACGGAGAACAAATGATTTAAACTAGTGCATTTGAAATATTTCCTTCGATGCCTGATATTAAAGTCAGTACCGCATCCGACACCCAAGGGGTTTTTCGTCGTCCTTCAAGGAGGTGTGGTGAACCCAAGGAGTTTAGAACTACTTTTTATCTCCTTGGGTGAACCTTGAATACAACGACCTCAGATTCAATGAAAAGCGGAATCCGGCGAAAGGAGACCAAGATCCGCTTTTTGTTGTTATTTTGTTTTGTTTTGTTTTTGGTTCTTTTTTGTATTTTTGCTTTGTTTGAGGTTTTTATGATGCTTTATAATATTTTTTGTTTGTTTGGGGTTTTTTGTTGTTGTTGTTTTTGTTTGGGGGGTTTTTTGGGGGGGAGGGGGGTTCGTTGTTGTTGTTTTTTCGTTGGGTTTGTTGTTGTTTTTTTGGTTATTTGGGGAGAGGGGGAGGAGAGTCCATTTATTTCAATCAACAAATTAGTTCAAATTTAATTAACACATAAATAAACAGACTTGGGTTCAACGAGGTCTCTTGGCGGGCGAACAGCAACCTCTGATGTGGCTTCACGAATCTTTCCCCCTGCAACGAAACTTTTCTCCTCTGTTCCAAGTGACCATCAATCCCACAGTCATGCGAGTCATGCATTATACTTGGATTCAACTAAATGAAGGTCAGACCCATCTACTTCCTTATATCCGAATTTCACTGTATTTATGTATCAGGGAGCTGCGTCCAAAGCGTAATTTTGTTAAAATAACTTCGTCTCTTCAGGAGAGACTAAAACGATTCTGTGGACCCAACTTGGGCATGTTATTAAGGAGTTCGTTGCTTCTTTCTTTTTTTCTTTTTTTTTGCTCCTTCCAGTGTTCCTCCCACAGACTGGAGATGTAGGATTTGACTGTATCTTTTAAAGTTTGTTTGAGTGTAGGTGGTATAAAGGGAGTGCTTAAAGGTCATTTGATCACACTCATGATGATTTCAATACTTTGTTATGATTTGGTGTCTTGGGCTGCAGTTTGTCTAAAAGGTTTTGCAAAGGTATGTTTGAGAGTAGTTTTGTTTAAATTAAATGAAATATTGCTCCTGCCGAACGATTATTACTTTATCTTTCAAGTGTGTGTGTG